TCCTTGTGTTCAGATTTCAGAACAAGTTGTTTACAGTCTTCTCCTGGATCTTCAATATACCGCGTGGAGTCCGCTTTTAAGTTGATAAAAGTCAAATTTATTTCTTTTTCCCTTCAAATTGTGGTTTGAAGGGAACATATGAACTTTTCTTATGGCACTTCTGTTATCTAGCATCAAGAGAAAGGTTTCAGCACTTTCATTCAGTACAACGGTGCGGTGCCTTTCACTCTATGTGAGTTCAAAACCGTTAGAAGAGTCAATACCTGATGCCCGCTTCCTAAAACATAGCACTCCTGAACCACGGCTTGTAGATCATACCCCCTTCCTACTCTTCCCTCAAGTTCGCTTATCAACCCTTCCAAATGGTATTCGTGTTGTTACCCAATCAGCCCCTGCGTCTTCCTTGCACATGGCCTCCATTGGTGTCTGGATTGATGCAGGGAGCCGGTTTGAGACTCCTGGGACCAATGGAACAGCTCACTTCCTTGAGCACATGATCTTTAAGGGCACCAGGCGCAGGACTTCTCAGTCACTAGAGGAAGAGATTGAGAACTTGGGTGCTCGGCTTAATGCCTATACTTCACGCGAGCAGACAACCTTCTTTGCTGATGTTCAGTCCAAGGACATTGCAGTTGCAGTTGATGTACTTGCTGATATCTTGCAAAATTCGAGGTTCCCCGAGCATGCCATTAAGAGGGAACGTGGTGTCATTCTCCGGGAGATGGAGGAGGTAGAATTTTTGTTTGTGTTATTATAGAAGATGTTTGGCAATTAGTAGGATTTAGTAAATCTTGTAAATCAAGATTTAATTAAATCTGAGAGTATTAGAACCTGAAATTTTTCTAGCATGACAACCGTTAAATTTTGCTAAACCTTGATAAATTACTTGGCTTTTTTATTTCAGGAATTAAGATTTATGAGTGAAGGTAAATCCGTTAAGTGCAGTGAATGATAGGATTTAACAAATAATAGGGCTAGATGGAATTTTTCATTACAATAGGATAAAGTCCGTAAATCAGTGGACTGATGCTAATTCTATTCCTCTTATGGTGATTCAAACTCTACTTGGATCATGGAACAAATCAGCTGGTGTAGGTAATTGTTCAGGGTAAGATGAACCTGTAATTGCTAATACATTTTTTCCAATACAATAGATTGTTTTTTTGTGTTTTTACAAGATAAACATGGACAGCGATGATTTAAATTTTCAGGTCTGAGTTAGCTCGCCGAATCAGCTCAGAAGGCTTAGCTGAGAGTATGATGGCTTTCAATACCAACTACCGTGATACTGGGTTGTTTGGCGTCTATTGCACTACCACAGTAAATTTCAAAGCTTGCAATTATTTAGGACTATGTTAATTATTTAGTTTCTTCTAATGATTTCCTTTTCCTTCATAATTTATATTTATAGCGTTGGTTGAGATTTATAGAATGCTTATTTTCACTTTATTTATGCTCTCTAATCTCTATATGCTAGAGTTTGCTCTCCTACCTTCCTCGCCCCGTTCTCTTTAAAAGAAGGGCTTCAAAATTTTTTGCATTTTGTAATGGATGCAACGATGACAAAGTAATAAAAGTTATGTTTATGTGCTTGTAAGATGTTTACCTTCAAGATTTAAAATTCTCATTATAATAATATCTCTGGTAGGCTATATGTAAAAAATTTGATGATAGTGTATTTACATAAATGGGGTCATAGAAATATTTAAACTAACCATTAGATTATCCACCCGTTTCCATCACTCTCTATTTTACGAAGATCCTTTGAATTCTGTGGATTAATACTAATAAAATTAACTGGATAGCTCCATAATTGTAGAAGGTTGAACTGAAGATGATTTGAATCTAGACCCACGAGAGGCTTGAGTGCTCATAATTCCTTATTTTTTAATGAATTGCTTGCATGTTTTTTTTCCTTATCGTTGTATGTACTGACTTGCAGTTATGGGAAACTGGACTATTTTTACCCAAGAGTACTCCATCATCATTAGTCTTATCACAACTATTTGGGTTGAACTTTATGAATCTTTGTTTTTCTATTCATTTCTATTGAGTGTTAAGTGTTGCTTAATATGTTAAGCCTATTTTTTATAAACCATTTTAGACAACTATTCATATTTCATTTGATTTTTTTTTTTCCATCATAATTCTTCGTCTCTAAATTTATCTACCCATTTAATGGATTGATTTTGTCTTTTGTTCTACATAGTCAGATCAGTTAAGTCTATTTTCAATTATCTTATTTTCAATATATGTTAATTCAGCTGCCCTTCGAGTATAGTGATTCCCTAGTTTTTTTTCTTGATAGCTATGCTGCATATTCATTTTGACATTTTCATTTTCATTGCGCTCAACTGAACTATAAATGATTTTTTATTGTCCACACTATTTTCATACAACATAACTGACTTATTTGGGTTATCTAAAATTCTCCATTAAGTCTCCATGATTTTTCTCATCATGTAATAACCCTAAGGCGCATTTTAATTTAACTACTCAGCCATAATTCTATAAGTTATATCTCATTTTTATTCTTGTTCTCTTCTATAATAGATCCAA